CCCCAAAACCCCAAAACCCCAAAACCCCATTTAAGCATAAAATAGTTGAGTGAGTAAATAAATTAAAAATATGAACGTGATAGAAGAGTTTGATTGGGAGTTATCTGATGAGTTTTTGGATGAAAATGCTTCAGTTTCAAATGTCAATGTATCTGAGAATCTTGACAAGAATATGGCGAAGTCATTGTTTTGTCGCAAGAATGAGATCTGGAAGATTTCTGAAACTGAGTCGTTCTTTTTGAATAAATCGGAAGTGATGCTTTCGATTGAGCCTGAGACATTACTGAGCAAAGATGCTGCACTCCCAAGGAAAGCATTACCTTTTAAGAAATCGAGTTATCAAGGTCCATATCCCAAATCTAAGCTTAAGAGTGATATGAAGGTTCTTCTTAATAAAGTAAAGAGGATAAGGAGTTATTCTGATGCTAAGAGTGGACATCAAAAGCTATTAATGAAACATAAGAAAGACCTCCTACACAAAAGAAGTAGGTTAGTAAGAGCAGTAACGATTCATGACTGTGAGCCTCCCAAATGTGCTTTATAAGCTTAATTAACTATAATTCCTACTGAACTAATTAACTAAATCCTCTCTGAGACTTCTATTCAAAAACAGTATTTCTTCAATAACTTGGAATTTTTGGAAATTTTGACCTATTTATCTAGTTCAATACTTGGCTGAGAAATGGGTCTCGAACTCTCTAAATCTATCCCTCAAAGTTAAGTAACTTAGAAAAATTAAATTCTTGAGTCGCTTACTCAACTGTTTTAAATTTTGTCTATTGATAAAAAATCGAATTTTTCATAAAAAATTAACTTATGCTTGAAAAAGGGTTAGTACTTACTTTTGCTAAAGACCTAGCTTCTAAGAGTAAAGTAGAAGAGAGACATCTTCTCATCAAAGCTTCGTACAGCTCAAAATATTTTCACTCGAACACCTTCACTCCTTGCCTTCATCAGTTTATTATGAAGGGTTTAAGAGAAGTTATGATTATTGAGTACATTAAAAGAGAGAAATTACGAATTTCATATTGCTGAAATAAATCAGGATAGCCCATTTATTTTTCTTATTTAATAAACTGTGACAGAAACACTATTTAGAGGGAAATTGTAAAAAATTGAGAGCCTTAATCATTGGATGCTCATTAGAAAAAAATTGCTAAATTCCTTCCTCTTGACTTATAAACAGTTTATGAAATACTTATCAGAAATGATGAATTTTGCCTTCCTGCATTTCCATGCTGTTGAAACAGCCTGTGATATTTTTTATCTCAACAGTATGGACAAATTTAAATTCAGTTTCAGTAAATTATAATCTAAAATAAAGGGAAAAGTTTGCTGTTAAAGTTAATCGCATCACACACTTCTATTATTTTTGTGAAATTTACATAGCAACGAGATAAAAGTAAAACTCGATTTTAAATTATAAAATAGGGAAATAGGAAACCAAATTACATAAAATCTTTGAGTTCTGTGCTTGGATAGAGATAGAGACTGATCATAAATCTAAGATGACGAGAAAATATCAAAGAAAGCTGATATGCTCAAGTCTAAGCTTTAATTCTGAAAAGTTCTTGTAAGTGAATTTTAGTATCAAACTTTATCCAACTGGAATCATTAAACAACCTTAGTGTCACACGATTTCAACATCTTCACAAACCTTATTAAATTTCAGAGAACCTTACTTCTTTTAAGCAGTTTTAGAATATAGAGCCATAATTTTGTTAAATTTCTAACTTTTCTTGGTTCAATTTTATCCAATAATTCAAAATTCTAAAATTGCTAACTTATAACCTCTCTCCGAACTCAGTATGCATAGTCCTCATTATTTATCCAAAATAAAAGCTTCATTGTTAAATTTTTTTATAAGAATCGGCTGAAAATATTCCTATTTTCTAACCTATAATAAAGCCTTTCGAAGCTATAACTTTCTTAATAATTATTCTGAGTTGATCTATGCTCTCTCAAAGCTTTCGTTATAATTTCCCGTAATGAAGCCTCTATTACATGTGCGAAAAAGCGGGTATATACTTATACCAGAATTTTTGAAGATTTCGAAGAGAAGTAATCTTGGAAATAATTTCAATTTTTGGTATGTAAACCATAAAATGGAGTAAGTTAGGTTAAAATATTTAGATAAATTAGACAAATATTTTTGATACATATCCCTGAGTTCTCTGGACTATAGAGTAGATGAAGTCTATTACTCGTTTATGCTATTCTTCCTCTCGTTATCGGTAAAATAGTACAGTCAAACTTAGGTAATCTCAAATATTATCAAGATGGTGGAGATGGTATGGCTAAGTGTTAATAGGGGGAAATATTAAGCAAGAGAGCGAAGCTTATTATATGTCTATTATTAAGGCCTCCTTTTAATCTGATATTTGATGTTTAAAACCCTCTACTGTGAAAAGTTATTAAGTTCCTTTGAAGTAACTGATTGAAATAGATCCTTTACAAGTCAGATCTTAGTGAATTATTAGACTCTTTGCATCTCTAATATTCACATTAGTAATCAAGATCTGAGCTTTGGCTATAATTAGAAAATGTTGTCTGGCGGATTTCCAAATTACAATATGTATATAATAACTAAAAGCTCATCTCTCAATCATATCCTTTACCCAAGGGGTTTTGGGGTTTTGGGGTTTTGGGGTTTTGGGG